CCCAACCTGGTTCAAATCCTGGATCTGGTGGCTTGAAAATCATACTGGATACTTATGTGTCCAAAACCCTGAGAGATGAATGCAGGAGAAAGGGTTGTAGCATAGCCACCCTCAATGGGGAGGGGGTGATTTCTTACTTTCCCTCTCTCTGTCTATCTCCAGCGAGCATATACACTCTCACTCTAGTGCAAAAACCTAAAAAAAAAAAAAAAAAGAAGTAAAACTTGTTACATGCTTATTACACTCCAGATTCTATACTAAGAAATATTTTTGTGTGTGTTTCACCAAAAAAATTCAACTGCAATAATACCGTATATGAATTAGAGATACTAAGTTTTTTAAAATGAGAAATGCAAAGATAGTTCAACTAGCTTGTCCAAATTTATGTATTGCATTGTCGGGAATGTCATGATTCATTTTTGCGTAGAAAAATACAACATGACTTTCCCAATGACCTAATAACATGTAAGTTGTGGAATGGGGATTAAGTTAAACTGTGGAACCTAGAATTGTGGCTTCAGAGCACATACTCTATACCAGTATTCCATCAAGGCACTGGGTACTTGTGTGTATATGTACATATATGTATATAGCTACCAGAGTACCGTAATTATCTCTAGGAAAATTAACAATAATTCCTTTATATCATGTAATACATCTAGTTTATATTTAAATTTTCTCAATTATTCTCTACCTCTATGAGTTCAACTTTTGACAATTTTACATACAAGTGAGATCGTGAAATATTTGTACTGTGTCTTCCTCATTTCACCTAGTATATTATTCTTCAGTTTCATCTGATTTGTCACAAATGACAGGACAGGATTCTCTTTCTCTCTTAAGGCAGAATAGTATTTTAGTGTGTATAGAGAGCAGAATGATGGTTACCAGAGGCTGGGAAAGGGCAAGAGGTGGAGGGGAGGAAAGATGGTGTGTTGATCAAAGGGTACGAAGATTCAGTTAAACAAGAAAAATAAGTTTTAGTGACCTGCTGCACAGAACAATGACTATAATAGATGATAATGTGCCACATTTCAAAATGGCTAAAAGAATAGATTTTTAAATGTTTTCATTACAAAAATATGATAAGGATGTGGGGTGATAGATTTGTTAATTAGTCTGATTTAATAATTTCTCATTGTAAACATATATCAAAATATTGCATTGGGGGCCAGCAGGTGATATTGTGGTTGGGGCGCTCGAGTTCTACATGGCTGACTTGAGTCCTGGTCCTGGCAGCTTGCTTTCTCACTTTCCTTTTCTCTTTCTGTCTTTATCTGGTCAAATTAAAAGAGAGTAATAAATAAAATGAACAATTATTTTTAAAAATCACATTATACCACATAGATTTACATAATTGTGACTTGTCAATTAAGAATAAAATTAAAGGGACCAGCATTTAGTAGTTGACTGCGGTTTGAATCCCAGACCCAGTGGCTTAAACTCATGCCGGGTGCGTGTACGTGCGTGCCCAAGATCCCGGGAGGAGAATGGAGGAGAAGGGATTGTGGTGTGGCCATCCCCCCGGGGGGTGATTTCTTGCTTTCTATCTCTCTGTTTCTCTCTGTCTGTCTGGCAAACACATGCGCCCTAAAAGAATAAAATTTAAAAAATAAATTTTCTTAATTATTTGTTAATTAAGCTTTATATATCTAACTTGCTTAAACAGAATCCAATCAGGAACTACATTGCATTTGATGCTTATTCTATTAAGTTTGTTCTATTAAGTTTATTTTGTTTTAGTATTTATTCATTTATTTTTAAAATTCATTTTAAAATAGCAATGTATTTTCCCTCCTTTCACAGCCATTGACTTGGGGGGAACACAAAGGCTATCTTCACGTCGCGAATTTGTCCGATTGTAGAATGACAAGCCTGAGAGTCAACTTTCTGTCTGTGTGCTCATGTATGTTGTTGAATGTTTTTGGATGATTATATGAACATCTATTTTATTTGAGCATGTGAAAATATAAAAGTAAAACAGAAAACCTTTCTTCATATACGTTAGTAAAAGACCATCTTGGGGACCAGCAGGTGGCATGGTTGTTAAGGTGCTGGACACTCCCACATGGCTGACCGCAGTTCGAGTACCGGACCTGGTGGCTTGCTTTCTCACTTTCCCTCTGTCTCTCTGTGTATCTCTCTCTGGTCAAATTAAAATAAATGAATGAATAAATAAAATTAAATAAATAATTATTTTTTAAAAAAAGACCATCTTAGTCAAGGGGAGAGAGCTGTGATTCAAAATATATGTTTTCAGGATGCTGGTGTCATATGTTATGAGAGTATGTGGATAGCATACAAGAGTTTTTGACCTGAAAGTTGAACAACCTAACCAGTTCTGTCATATTAACAATACATGAGCTCTATGTCTCTAATGATCCAACATGACTAAGCGAAAGGAATGAAGATTACTAAGCAAGAGAACCAAATCCTCAGTAGTTGAGGGTATATAGACTGTAGCCCACTGAAGTCAAGAGTGTGTTTTCAGAACTGAGACCATATGAATTGAAGAGACAATGAAGAGGAGAATTTAGGTTGCTACAGAAAGGTGTTTTTACTTGTGCACAGAGAGAAAGTCAGAAAGGAAAAAAGAGAAAGAACATTCTAATTCTTTTCTGCCACAAACAGTAAACTAAGCCTTCATCTGGGGGACAGCAAATATTATGAGCTGAGCCAAAGATGAGATAAATAGTGGAGGAAGGAATAAGGCTGAGCATGATTTAGGGCTTGTCAGGTTAGGAAGAGGAGGTGTGTGGCCATCACAAGATTTATCTTGGTGCTAATCCTGGATCCCCTGCTCTTACTGCATGGTTCGGTTACCTACAGAGAATAAATAACTTTCTGTGTGAACACAGTGGGGTAGAAGGAACATTATTGTGTCGACAGAAATAACCAACTCTACAAAAATAATAATTAATGCAATTTATTTCTAAGCATGAATTTGCTTGACCTAGGCCAAAGAAGAAGCAAAACATGCCTCTCTCTCCAGAAATCAGGTACAGGGATTCCTTTTATTTGATTTTGATAGTGAGAGAATTTAGTGAACAGTTTTCCATTGGCCTGGCCCAAAAAAGGCAAGACATGTGGAAACAGGGCTTGTAGGTTTTGGGAAGGAATTAATAAAGAATGTACTTTATCAGAGATAAGGGGCTTAAAGGTATTCAATTACAAAACACTGTCCCAAGGACAGGCTATTGAAAGAGTCTTGTCATCAATGAGTCAAAATGCTGTTAATGATGTGGGTGTGACTCACCCATTATAGGGATACTATGCCAGGACAGAAGGTATGAAAATTTTTGTTATCAAATGGGTCAAAATGGACTGTTAATGTCTGTTAATGTGCGCATGACTCACCCTAGGCCCTCTGGAAGGGATTTTAGAAATAGGAAAAAGTCTGACTTCTGTCCTCAATGGGATAATGGAGAAGCTACAAATCATAATCTTTTCTTTTTCATTGTTATTTTATTTGACTTTATTTTTTAAATTTACTTATTCATTTTATTTAACCAGAGAGGAACAGAGTGAGAGAAAGTGAGAAAGCAAGCTGCCAGGTAGGGACTCAAACCAGAGTTGGCTTTTATGGAAGTCTAGCACCCTTAACCAACAGCCACCTGCTGGCCCCGAGATAACTCATAATCTTTTAAATATCTATTCCTAGAAGGGAATTTTTTTAGGAATTTACAAAGGACACGGAAGTGACAAAATTCAATCATGAAATATTCTGTGTATATTCTCCTTGGAGCATGTGTGTGCCTGTGTGTGTGGGAGAGTGCAACTGAAAAAGGGAGGATAAAAGTAAGTTTATAAATGTGTAAGAGTATGTGTTGGGAAATAAATGATGAGAAATGATATGTAAAAATGTAAGTATAGATCAAGATATGCCTGAGAATACAAATAGCTGTCTTGTGTTTGTGAGATTACATGCCTTGGGTTTGTGTGTCTATCTAAATAAAATAAGTGGGTTCACACAGAAACAATCTTTTTGGACAGAAAAATTGACTTACAATGTTACAACATCCAACCTATTATGATATTACACATTTTTACAGTATAAACAGTGTTGAGAAACTGTCTTCTGGAGGCAAAAGACCCTTGAGAACCAATTAGAGGATGCCTTATTATTATTTTTTTTAATGCTTGAGGGTGGTGCATGTGTATATCAGAGAAAAAGTGCACCTCACTTCCACCATGGGTACTGGTCACATCATGACCTCCTTTACTCCATTTTTTCTCCCTGTCAGGATCTTGGGCATGTGCTCAAACATACCTGATGTATTTCTTCTACCAGGGCCAGGACTGAGCTGGAGTCAGCCATATGGGACCTAGCTATCTCTAAATATTGCTTAACCACTGCTCTCTGGGGGCATTCCACAAGGGATCTTTTAAATTCAAGTTTATATTTCACATATATTATCCAACATAGTGTTATAACTCAGCCAGTGTTTGTTGAACTGAATGAGATTTTCAAATGGCACTAAAGGGCTGTTAACCTCACAAATCTAAGAGCTGCAGTCATTGGCCTAGAATTTTAGGGCAGAGATCAACTTTCTGGAATGGCAGTGAAATAAGATCTTAACCAATAATGTCCATAAAGTCATGTAAGTTAGAACTCACAAGTGCACTGAAAAGATTACCCTCCAACTTGCTAATTCGTATTGGAAAACAATGTTTAATGAAAAGAGTAGCTAGTCTAGAAGGCTTCCTGGAGAGATTGTGTTAATTAGTGGAGGTTGGCAGAAGAAGAAAGAGGTTCTCTTTAGGAGTATTAATGGTATATCTTAATGTGTCTGGGACAATTCTGGTTTATGGATATTGCTGCCATTGCTATTAATCTTAACCTTTCTTCACTTCAGAGGGAACACACTTTGGATGGTAAATTATATGGTCACCCATTTTTTTAAAAGTGATGATTTATTGAAATTACAGTGACTCGAGTGAATCTAACTATCCTTTATCACTCTCTGTCTTCAGGGCCTGGGACTTGATCTTGGTCTGACATGATCATTTCCAACATAAGCAGTTATAGCACAGGACCATTCATCCTAGTAGGAATCCCAGGCCTAGAGCAATTCCATGTATGGATTGGGATTCCCTTCAGTGTTATCTACGTTGTAGCTGTTATGGGAAACTGCATCCTTCTCTACCTGATCACGACGGAACGTAGCCTTCATGAACCCATGTTCTTCTTTCTCTCCATGTTGGCCCTGACTGACCTCATCTTGTCCACAGATGGTGTCCCTAAAACACTGAGCATCTTTTGGCTGGGAGCTCGAGAAATCACTTTCCCTGGGTGCCTTACGCAAATGTTTTTCCTCCACTATAGCTTTGTGCTGGATTCAGCCATTCTCATGGCCATGGCCTTTGATCGCTATGTGGCCATCTGTTCTCCCTTGAGATATAACACCATCTTGACTCCCAAGACCATCCTCAAGATTGCTGTGGGCATTTCCTTCCGAAGCTTCTGTATCATCCTGCCAGATGTATTCTTGCTGACACGCCTGCCTTTTTGTAGGAACCGCATCATTCCCCACACGTACTGTGAGCACATAGGTGTTGCCCGGCTTGCCTGTGCAGATATCTCCATCAACATCTGGTATGGCTTTTGTGTTCCCATCATGACGGTTATCTCAGATGTGATTCTCATTGCCGTTTCTTACACCCTCATCCTCTGCACTGTTTTTCGCCTCCCCTCCCGTGATGCTCGCCAGAAGGCCCTTGGCACCTGTGGTTCCCATGTCTGTGTCATCCTCATGTTTTACACTCCTGCCTTTTTCTCTATTCTTGCCCATCGCTTTGGGCACAATGTCTCTCGCACATTCCACATCATGTTTGCCAACCTGTACATTGTTATTCCACCTGCACTAAACCCCATTGTCTACGGAGTGAAGACCAAGCAGATCAGAGATAAGGTTATAATTTTGTTTGGTAAGAAGAGTACAGAATAAAGTTCCACCAGGCGGTGAGAAAACCAGGATCAATTTATAGTGAATATAAATAGAGCAAGAAGGAAAGAGGAAAGGCCACTGAAAGCAAGAACTTCCCGCATGTTGTCTTATATACTAAAAAAGATGCATGATCTGTATGAAAAAGTTGGTCCTAGGTTTTAAAAAGGTTCTAATGGCTTTTTTCCTTGTGGGATATGGGCTTCTAGAGGATAGAGAAGAAAGAGAAAAAAATAGAAAGTGGAGTACTCTAAATGAAAAAAAAAGCAATGAAAATTTGAACATTGAAATTTGCAGGTTTGCTCAGTGAGAGATATGGTAAGAGACATGTGTAAAAGTAAAAAAATATATCAGTGAGAAACTTCTCATTTAGGGGATTAGCTGATAGATATTGGAAACATTTATGCTAATACTTGATTCTATTATGTTATCAGAAATGGCATGAGGTGTCTTTTATGCAAAACTGTGTCATGACTTTTTCAGCAACCCCATAATTACTGTCCATTTTATGCTTCATTGTAATTCTTCCTAAATGTCTCACCCACAAAAAAAGTAAAATAAAATTAAAAAACAGGTCTGCAGCACAAGTCTGATACAAACAAGTTCTATCAGCAGAATCAAAAAAGGGAAAAAGGGAATTAGCATATCGATTGATGCCAGGGTTGCAGGCTTTCATGCTGGGAGAAGACAGTAGCCTTTTTGTAGGAACCGCATCATTCCCCACACGTACTGTGAGCACATAGGTGTTGCCCGGCTTGCCTGTGCAGATATCTCCATCAACATCTGGTATGGCTTTTGTGTTCCCATCATGACGGTTATCTCAGATGTGATTCTCATTGCCGTTTCTTACACCCTCATCCTCTGCACTGTTTTTCGCCTCCCCTCCCGTGATGCTCGCCAGAAGGCCCTTGGCACCTGTGGTTCCCATGTCTGTGTCATCCTCATGTTTTACACTCCTGCCTTTTTCTCTATTCTTGCCCATCGCTTTGGGCACAATGTCTCTCGCACATTCCACATCATGTTTGCCAACCTGTACATTGTTATTCCACCTGCACTAAACCCCATTGTCTACGGAGTGAAGACCAAGCAGATCAGAGATAAGGTTATAATTTTGTTTGGTAAGAAGAGTACAGAATAAAGTTCCACCAGGCGGTGAGAAAACCAGGATCAATTTATAGTGAATATAAATAGAGCAAGAAGGAAAGAGGAAAGGCCACTGAAAGCAAGAACTTCCCGCATGTTGTCTTATATACTAAAAAAGATGCATGATCTGTATGAAAAAGTTGGTCCTAGGTTTTAAAAAGGTTCTAATGGCTTTTTTCCTTGTGGGATATGGGCTTCTAGAGGATAGAGAAGAAAGAGAAAAAAATAGAAAGTGGAGTACTCTAAATGAAAAAAAAAGCAATGAAAATTTGAACATTGAAATTTGCAGGTTTGCTCAGTGAGAGATATGGTAAGAGACATGTGTAAAAGTAAAAAAATATATCAGTGAGAAACTTCTCATTTAGGGGATTAGCTGATAGATATTGGAAACATTTATGCTAATACTTGATTCTATTATGTTATCAGAAATGGCATGAGGTGTCTTTTATGCAAAACTGTGTCATGACTTTTTCAGCAACCCCATAATTACTGTCCATTTTATGCTTCATTGTAATTCTTCCTAAATGTCTCACCCACAAAAAAAGTAAAATAAAATTAAAAAACAGGTCTGCAGCACAAGTCTGATACAAACAAGTTCTATCAGCAGAATCAAAAAAGGGAAAAAGGGAATTAGCATATCGATTGATGCCAGGGTTGCAGGCTTTCATGCTGGGAGAAGACAGTAGCTTCTAGGCTCCAAGACACCTTGAGAAAGTGAGATGCAGAAGCAGTGCTGGAAGAATACAATTCTTGAAATTGAAGATCTGAGGAAAGGGTTGGATTCCTAGGGTACACAGACCACAAGCCAGTCCACGTAGACATTAAAGTAAATATTTAAGCCCTGATGGTTGGAAGGCTTGCAGAACTCTACTCTTTAGATTGTAATTTCTTGACTACAAGAGAAAATAAATTATAGACACATTTTGGCAGTGGAGAGGGGGAATGAGGAAAGGAACATTATAAAACAGTAACACATTCATAGTGAGATGTAGTCAAATTATGTAAGAATTAAAACTGAAAACAAACTATATCTTGTGATGAAAGAAGGTTCGAAGAAGCATAATCATAGAATATAGTGAAATGCAGAGCTGGTCTATCTCAGGAGTGTTCATCTGCATTTTAAGAATCTGGGTTCTGAGAAGTGGGCTTACGGTGAATGTCAAGGCATGCATGAAGAAAATTTCCTGTGCTCTTTTTGTACGCCATCACCGATCTGCCTTTATTTAGTTTGTGTATCAAGGGCTTAGGAAAGATTTCATTTGAAAACTAGAATTTTTCCAATAAACCTTGTGCTACAAATAATTCATTCATTGGAAAAATGAAAATCTATTGAGTACCAGATATTGTGCTAAGCCTTTAGGATCATGAAGGTTCACTATACAGAGGAGGCTCTGCCTTGCTTCCATGAAAATTGTATTCTCGGAAGAGTAGCAGATAAGCAAGAAAAATATAGATCACTTTTAAATAGTAATGAAACAAATAAAAAATAGAACTGAATAAAGTGGTAGACTAAATCCAGCCCTGGAAGGCAATGGCAGTGGACAACAAACGCAAATGCTCTATAGTTAGAAATAGCTTTACCTTTATTGAGAAGTCAAACACAGTTGTACCTATAGTTAAGTGAGGCAGGGCAGTGTAAGGGTGGGGAGACTGGGGGCAGGAAGAACATGGTCAGAGCCTTGGAAAGAATTATCCAATCCTCACTCTCAGAAGAGAAAACTGGGGAACCAGCAGTTAGCGTAATGGCTATGTCGCTGGACTCCCACGTAGTCCACCCCGGTTCGTGTCCTGGACCCGGTGGCTTAAAACTCACGCCGGGCGCGTGTGCGTGCATGCCCAAGATCCCGAGAGGAGAATGGAGGAGAAGGGATTGCGGCGTGACCATCCCCCCTGGGGGGTGATTTCTCGCTTTCTGTCTCTATGTCTCTCTCTGTCTGTCTGGCGAGCGCACGCGCCCTATAGCGAAAACCTCTCCAAAAAAAAAAAAAAATTGTATTCTCGGAAGAGTAGCAGATAAGCAAGAAAAATATAGATCACTTTTAAATAGTAATGAAACAAATAAAAAATAGAACTGAATAAAGTGGTAGACTAAATCCAGCCCTGGAAGGCAATGGCAGTGGACAACAAACGCAAATGCTCTATAGTTAGAAATAGCTTTACCTTTATTGAGAAGTCAAACACAGTTGTACCTATAGTTAAGTGAGGCAGGGCAGTGTAAGGGTGGGGAGACTGGGGGCAGGAAGAACATGGTCAGAGCCTTGGAAAGAATTATCCAATCCTCACTCTCAGAAGAGAAAACTGGGGAACCAGCAGTTAGCGTAATGGCTATGTCGCTGGACTCCCACGTAGTCGACCACGGTTCGTGTCCTGGACCCGGTGGCTTAAAACTCAAGCCGGGCGCGTGTGCGTGCGTGCCCAAGATCCCGAGAGGAGAATGGAGGAGAAGGGATTGCGGCGTGACCATCCCCCCTGGGGGGTGATTTCTCGCTTTCTGTCTCTATGTCTCTCTCTGTCTGTCTGGCGAGTGCACGTGCCCTACAGTGAAAATCTCTCCAAAAAAAAAAAAGAGGAGAAGAGAAAACTGAAACTCACAGGGTGAAAATGACTTCCAAAGTGAATAGGACTTATAATGTGGGGCTAGAATAAAATCTGTTCTCAGTTCAGTGATGTTCCTATTGAACACAAACTCTTGTATATAAAAATAGACTCCAAAGGAAAGAATAAAATGATCAAGGACTATTAGAGCTTGTTGTTACTTGTGGTTGTGAACTGTAGATATCTTTGCTTAAATTTAATGCATTTTGCACCAGCAGATGGGGTGGTGGTTAAGGCACTGGATTTCTACATGGTTGACCACAGTTTGAGTCCTAGACCTGGTGACATGAGAAATACATTGGATGATTGTGCACATGTGCGCAAAATCCTGAGACGAAAATGGAGGAGAAAGGGTTGTGCTGTGGGCATCCCCCCTAGGGGTGATTTCTCACTTTCCCTTCCTCAATCTCTCTCTCCCTGATGAGTGCGCATGTCCTATGGCAAAATCTTTCAAAAAAGAAAGGAGAGCCAGTAGATAGTATGATGGTTCAGATGCAAGACTTCCACATCACTGACCACAGTTAGAATCCCAGACCTGGCAGCTTGATTTGTCATAACCACAGTTAGAATCCCAGACCTGGTAGCTTGATTTGTCATTTTCCCTCTCTCTCTTACTATCTCTCTCTGTTTCTCTCTCTTGTGAGTGAATGTGTCCTACAGGAAAGTAAAAAGATAATAATAACAAATAAAATTAAAATAAATCATTTCTTTAAAAATTTATTTTCAGTTACATTTCATTATTTAAAAGAATTATTTTGCTTAATTTTATTTCTTCTATTTTATTTTTTATTTTAATTTGATCAGATAGGGACGGAGTGAGAGAGAGATGGAAGGTGAGAAAGCAAGCTGCCCAGTCCAGGACTCAAAACACGGTCAGCCATGTGGGAGTCCAGCGCCCTTAACCACCATATCACCTGCCGGCACATTTCATTTTTAATTGACAAACAATAATTGCATATGTGTATGGGATACAATGATATGCTATTATACATGAATTCATCACAAAATGATTAAATCAGCCTGATTAAGATCATGACCACCTCACATACTTATCATTTTAAAAAATCTACTCTCATAGTAACTGGTACATTTAGACAAACCAAAATTTAACAGAGTTTCCTTTAAAACAAAGGCAGTAGATTTAAATCAGGCATTCTCCGAAAAGATGGCTTCTGAGAGACTCTGGCTGGCTGCATGGTCATGGGGAGTGTGTGTGGAAAATGAAAGTGACATGCGCAGAAAAGGGAAAGTTACATACAGAAACAAAAGTGAGGGAATAAGGTAGAGAAATCATTGGATTGGGGAACCAGCAGATGGCGTATTGGTTACATTGTAGGACTTTCACATGGTTGACCGCAGTTCGAGTCCCAGATTTGACAGCTTAAAACTCACACTGGATGCGTGTGCATGTGTGCCCTAAACTCCTGATTAGAGAATGGAGAAGGAATTGTGGCACGGTCATCCCCTCTGGGAGGTGATTTCTCTCTTTCTCTTTCTCAGTCTTCTCTGTCTTTCCAGTAAGTGCAAACACCCTATAGCAAAAATCACTCTAAAAACAAAAAAAGAAAAAAAGGAAGGAAGGAAGGAAGGAAGAAAGAAGAAAGAAAGAAAGAAATCATCGGCTTTGTTGTTAGAACTCGACGGTAGACTGCATGAACAGCCTAAAAGTTGGGCTTTGTAGGGACCAGCAGTTGGCATAATGGCTATGTTGCTGGACTCCCATGTAGTTGATCGTGATTCAAGTCTCAGACCCAGTGGTTTAAATCACACTGAGTGCGTGCCCAAGATGCCGAGAGGAGAATGGAGGAGAAGGGATTGTGGCGTGACCATTGCCCCTGGGGTGGGGGGTGATTTCTCGCTTTCTGTGTCTCTGTCTCTCTGTCTGGTGAGTGCATGTGCCCTATAGCAAAAACTCCTTCAAAAAAATGAACAACAGGGAACCAGCAGTTAGCATAATGGCTATGTCGCTGGACTCCCACGTAGTCGACCGCGGTTCGTGTCCCGGACCCGGTGGTTTAAAACTCACGCCGGGCGCGTGTGCGTGCGTGCCCAAGATCCCGAGAGGAGAATGGAGGAGAAGGGATTGCGGTGTGACCATCCCCCCTGGGGGGTGATTTCTCGCTTTCTGTCTCTATGTCTCTCTCTGTCTGTCTGGCGAGCGCACGTGCCCTACAGTGAAAATCTCTCCAAAAAAAAAAAAAAAAATGAACAACAGAAATAAAATAAAAATAAAGATGGGCTTTCTGTGAGTGACTGAAATGTGGCTAATGTGATTGGTCATAACTTATTAACCAGTTTAGAAAAACTTTCTAACACGTACGACTATCCATAGGAATCTAAGTGTGAGAGAGTACAGCAGTCATTTTAGGTCAAAATAGTTTAGTTTAACAGAAGTATAGA